GTAATAGGCAACAATTGTATGAATTAAAAATATTTAAGTGTTCTTACCATGATAATTTAATTAAAACAATGATAACTGCATGTATGGTATCAGTGTATATGGACTATTTGAATGCCATGGCAACTTCACCCCCATTTTCCAGTACAGTTAAGCAAGCAACCAATATACTGTCAGCAACAAACAGACACTTAAGCCGCATATAATAAAGATTACTAACATAAAAAAAATTGTTTAGGCATCGCTACATGAGTCATTACTCAATTTGTCATGTTTTGATAAACATGCGGTGATGAAAGGAAAGTATTAGAAATAATGATTCGCCAGGTTGGCGTCAGATCAATGATGTATTTATGTAGAATGTTTGGGTTTGAGATGTATGCTAAGCACATTTGCAGCAACGGAGCCAAATTACTGATCGTACAAATTTATGGTAAAATAATTGTTTCTTCAGTAACAAGATATTTTATTTAGTGTCGAATAATATTAAGAATTGGGACTCTCCACATGTTTTATTATGTGCAGAGGGGAGGGAATGACATGCACATTTGTAAAGCCTACGAGAAAACGTTGTTGGTGGTTTTGAGGTCCGGATTTTAGATCATTCTGGATAATAGATGCCCGGATTTCATACTTTGTACTGTATCAGTTTTCAGTGACTTTCTCGCTTTGCTGCTGGTTTGCTAAATGACTATGAAAAGTGTACCTCATAAGAGAGCAATCGCAGGAGATTGCCACTGTAAAGTTCAAGGAGCAATCACTTATCACAGAAAGGGTTTTGAAGTAACTGTTTAGTTATTCAATCAGCCTTTCAAAACAAGTTTCATTGAAAAGGATGATGTCTATCTGCATTGGGAAAAATGCCTCCCCCCCCCTCCCAGAAGGTAATGTGGTTAGTGACACTAACTGCCATACTGAAGGGTCCAGGTTCAAATATGTGATGGCATGGATGTTTGTAAGCGTATAGTGTCAGTGCAGTTAGGAGGCAGTCAGACTACATGATGGGCCAAAAGCCTTCTCAAGTGTTTGGTGGTAGGGAAAGCGGAGTGGTCCCTTGGTTAGCCTCCAAAGTGTTTTCCCTCGAAACTGAAGCAGAACAATATAGTTAGTGCACTGAGACTACACCTGTGCAACATATGGGGAAATTATGGTGCTTCACCCACATTATATCTGCTGCATCTGCATTCCAAAAAAGCTTTTTTTTCCACTTTTCAGTAGACCATGTGTTGACATGCTGTAATGAAATCAAATCAGGTTTACACTTTCTGTTATCAGTGAAACTTGAAATTCTTCAAGGTTCTGATCAAAAGATCAAGGGGAACTTCTAAAATTATTGGTGCTATTGAAGCAGTGTAAACCTGAGGTGGGCCATGTATTTGCATGGCCACTAGCGACTATCACCAACACATATAAGCCAACCTTTGTATATTTTTGAAATATTTATGAAAATACTTTTAGTTTTATTATTTTGCACATTAAATTCATTTTTTTATAAAGTTGCCAAATTGGCATTCTTTCCTAAATTTGTATGCTCTTGAAGACATTCGGGTCTCTGTTTGAACTCATTCTCTGTTATTACACCAAAAGCAACATTTTCTGTTTTGGAATATGAATTCTTTTGTTGCATGTTACTAAAATTAACATTTTGGGCATTTTAAAATCAGTGTACTTTGTTTTTTTGTTTGGAGATTTGCAAATAATCCGATTTTTGTCACGAATTGTTAGCATATGATTCAAATGATATTTTTAGAAAATTAAAGTTTCTTTTTCTATCATAGTTTGTGTTGTACAGGAGTCGCACTTTTTATATTTCATTTTTTATAATGACTTTAACCCTTTGCAGTAATCTTCGGAGTCATCATGAACATTAGATATCCCCTTTTTCTTGAATTGTTATTGCTTCATCAGTCAGAGCCCATGCACGCAAATATCCACAAACAAATCAATTAGTAAGAGTACATTTGGTACATGGATGCTATCTTCAGATTTAACCACTTGCATTACAAGTAAACTTCACAGTTGTGGTGCCGTCCACTACAATGTAACAAGCGGTTAAGTGTCTCATTTACGGCACTCTGCATCTGCGAGTGCAGTCCAGAGCTGTAACTCAAGAAATAAACAATCTTGTTGTTAGGCGACGTGTGCACCACGTTATTTTCATTTTTGCACACGGTTTGAGACAAAGCATCTCAACGTCCATGGCAAGTCTTTTTAGCGCAAGTCATTAAAGAAGCTCACTTTTTAAATGCCATGCCAAAGGGAAGATTATGTGTATACTTAAAAAAAAATTCAAAGCCTTGTGCTGAAAGATGCTAAGGGGTAAAATGGAAGAGTAAATCCTGTATATATAAAGTGATGAATCTTTATTTCATTGGAAAAGCATAAAGTTTCTTCAACACATTCTGTCAATATATATCTCATCTATAAGCATTAAAATATGCTGATTATCAGGAATGTAACTCAGTTTGTGTTCGAAATTTTATTGGTTTGCACAGAAAGAAAGAAAATTTATATTTAAAAATGAAAGAACTTGTCAAAATATCTTCTTAAATACTATATTTATTATAACTTAAGGTAGAAATAATGATTCATAAAAGGTGACACACACCACAGGAACACATCACAGAACATAACAAAATGCAGCAATTTTGTGTAACAGCACAACCAAGGTAACACTATGAAATTCTTACAATAGAATTAAAGATTTACCAGTTTCTCTAATTCTCTTTAATTCTGTCAAAATTAACAAAAATATAATCAATGACTTAAATAAGAAAAACTGAACTAATTATTAAATGAAAGCAACTGTTAAAATATTTTTAAAATGTAAACTCTCATATATAAAAAATGTTAACTCTCCATTAAAAGTTCACTGTAGAGTCTAATCTTTTATTTTGTGCAGTTCTCTTAACTTCTTAAATTTTAATTTGGGAAGAGCTTTCTTGAAGATATTTGCTAACTGGTCTTCCAATTTCACACACTTTATAACAGATTTCTCTTCACATTTTTCATAAATAAAATGGTAGCACACATTGATGTGTTGTGTTAGTGAAATAGAGTTTAAATCAGCTTAATAGCACTTAGTGAAAATTAATACCCCCTTTATATATTTCACTTTTCACCCACATCTTGCAGAAGTTGATACAACTGCAATAGTTATTTCACTGCACTTAAAAAAGTGTAGTGTATTCAGCCTTTGTGGTACAGGATAGAAATAGTTGATTGCTTCTCACTACACTAGGTTACTGGGTCATCACTAAGTTTAAACATATAACCAAAAGGTGATTTTCTTGTGTCCATTTCATTAAAAAATCTACATCAGAGCCTCCAACAAGATGACAAAGCTACTGAATAAAACTGTATGCTAATGAGGGCAAACCTATAATATGCATGTCTTTAAGTAACACATAACTCCATTTTTTATGACATTCATCACTAATTTCCAGGGCAGTGGATGGAGACAATTAATTGCCTAATAGAAAAATATTTGTGTTAAAATGGCCTCATCATTGTCAACATAAGCTGCACTTACTTCGAGTTTATTCTTATTTGATGGATATATGGCACATCACCAGAGTTAAGCTAAGATTTTTTCCGCATTTTGACATACCGAGCTCAAAAAGTTCACCATCACTGTTGTATGACATAGTTTGTTGTAGTTCATGAAAAAGTTTCACTGAAGTCCAGACCCTCCATGAGAGAACACTTTACCTTTCATGCTTTTATATGATTTTTTTTCAATTAGGAAGATATTGGATTATAAACACTCAGTTAGATCCAATTATGTTTCCTGTCTGGTGGAGGTACAATATCCCATGTCTTATTTTTATTGAGAGAATTAACTCTTCCTTTGACTTTCTTCCATTCTTTTTCTTGAGACTGCATTCTGGATATATGAACTTACATATATATATAATTACAAAACAATTTTTTTAAACATAATGTAATCATGCCTAATATTTTCACACATTAAGCTGCTGAAAAATTATCAGTAAAGACATAAAGTCAGAAATTTTGAACCAATTTTGCACAAAGACCATGAATTGAAATTCATAAGTAATAAATTACAAATAACCCTATAAATGCAAAAAAGAATAAATGTTAAAAAACAAAACACTTCAAACAAGCAGTAACCCAATTGAAAAAATGAAATTTAAAGAAAAAAGAATGTAATAGAAGAGGAATTCAATCAACCTTTAATGCCACTTCTTCAGGAGGATGAACATTGAAATATATTTTCCATAAAACTTCATGCTTTTTTGTATCCAGAATTAGCCAATGAACCATTTCAATGTATTTTAATTGTAATAGTTCATCCGAAAATTCTGGCCTTTCTCCAAAGCTAAGAAAAAAACAAAATAAGCTCTAATCAAAATTGTTTACCTTTAAATAAAGAGATCTCTATTCAAAGAATTGAAAACATAAGTGAAATAATAAAATGTTTTAGTATTTCAGCCATACCTATAGATTTCAGCTGTCAGACATTTCTGAAAATAATTGCAAGGAGACTGATGAGATTGTGACACAATAATTCCATGCTTTGAAATGAGATGCCTTGAATGTCTTGACAGAACTTCCCTGAATTGCTCCACCTTTTTCAAGTTACAAACATGTGTCTACATAGCCTTTAATCCCTGTTTAAAAGTCAGTGACCATTTTCAAAGAAGTATGGCTCCATGCCATAGTCAAACTAAAATGACATCAGGTGTAAAATACTGTTTGCAAGACAGGGTATTCAATTAAAACTGAAATTGTTGTTTTGTGATACCTAACAGCTGCCAGTTAGTGAAGTATGAAAAGTGCTATATTATATCACAAGAATTAGTTTAAAAATTTGTACGTAGCTACTGCATGAAATTAAATGAAGAAAATAATGAAATATATGTTATGATATAAATTTTCTCTTTAAATCTTACTATGATTTTGTTCTATTCTGTGTTAATGTTGATAAAATTGAAAGTTAAGAATATCTTTCTTTTTCTTTTTCTTTTTTTTTTTTTTAGGAAACTGATAATGAAGAGAATTTTATTATTGACAGTAACAAATCTCTGAATCTCTGCGTACTGGAAAATACAGGTAGTTTTTTTATTATTGTGATAAAAATTTATTGTACTATGAAAGGCTAGTATTTTTAAATGAAACTATTTTAAAACAAAAGCATAATGTAAATCATTATTGTTTTCATAATTTTTGGTTGAAAAACTTTTTGAGGAGCTGTATGTTAGTTTATTTTAGAAAGATAATACCCTGTAAAATGTACACATTTGCTGTTTAGAATGTTTTTAGTTTCTTTGTAGTTTGTATTCTAATCTTCCCCCCCTCCTTCTCCATTTAGCAGGTCCATCCAATGTCAGACCAGCTGCAAAGGTAAGCTGCTTTTCGTATTTAAATGTTTTTTCCTGTTTTATTATCCCTTGCTGTAAGTCAGTTTTCTCTACAGACTACATAATTGAAAGAAAAAAAAAGTAATCTGGTTTTGGTGACCTGGTAAAAGCACACATGGGAAATATCGACAGTACAAAACCTACAGTTGACAGTCTGCACAAAAAGTACTCACATGGAGATACAAAGAAACCCAGATACAAAGAGGCTCACGTACATAAGACTTCATAAAACAAATTCCACATAGGTACTTATATGCATTCATGAACAGTATTCTAAGCATCTGTAGCTTACGCAAAACAGTCTTATTTCAAAATTATATCATCGGTTTTTGAAATAAACATGAGCTGAAGTATGAAATGAAGAATCATTTCTGCACATCGATACGGTACAAAGTCCGTAATCCGGACTCGTCGAGACTTCGACGTTTCCGGTTCCGGATTATAGATCATCAATTTATATCCGGTAAAAAAAAGCTTAATATTTATTTGTTTACTTTATTAACATTCTAAATTCTATAAACAGATATAATTTTTTGTTCACTTACAAAGTTCCACAATTCAAGTCCTGTAATTGCTGTGTCGAGAATACCGGCTAACTCGTCAATCGAAATTTTTCGTTTTCAATAACCTCTCTGTCACTTTCTTCACTATTGGAAAGCAGTATTTTCTGGATCTAGAACCATACTACAGATTTCGCCATCCATTAATTGATTGATGGTTGGGGCATTGTCATCGCAATGAAAAACTTCTGTTATATCATCTTCATTTATTATTGCTTTTGCAGCAATTCTGCATTTTATTTGATGGACATCGAAACATGCTTTTGCTTTGTAGATCCTTTAACAGCTCCAGAATTGGAAACTCTTTTTGACATAATCGAAAGTTCAAGCTTAATTTTTATGAAATTGCTGTAACCATCTGCAAAAAATAAGCCAGATCCTATTAGAAGATTAAGGAACAGCGCAATCTGCAACATTAACTGAAATGCCTTAGAATCAGTAAAGATAATTTTAGCCTACCTTATATCGTCCATTATACATTAAACGCGCATGCGTAAAGCATACAAAAAAAAGTTTGTGGCTTTGAGGTCCGAATAATAGATGTCCGGATTATGGACTTTGTATATATATTATATGTTCAGTAGTGTAGCTAAAGCACCCAGGGACAACTAACGAATTCGCGCCCCTTTCTGTGTGCCAAGAATTTAAAAAATTTCGTATCATCAATTTGGCGCCGTGTGGATGCTGCGCCCAGGGACAGATGTCTGCCCTTGCCCCACCCTAACTATTCCACTGGTTATATTTAAACCTTGGGAAAATCTTAAGTGTCGGATTATATAGTTCTTGCTGCATTCCTCAAACAATACAGATTTATAGGAAGTATAAAATAAATTTGAATATGTATCATGTATACAAAATATTTAATACAATATCTTAAATTATTTAACAGTTGTAGGAAGATTGAGGGTACCGAATTTAATTTTTTGAAATAGGAAATGAAACTGAACTTTTGTTTCTATGAGAGCACTGGGGCATTATAGTGTAATTATGAAAAAAGTTGTTGTGCATATTCAAAAGTACTTTTAAAAGAGAAATTAAAATCAAGCTTCTAAATAATTTAGTAGATTTTTAAATATTATTCTCTTGTGTTACATAATGTCACTGCAGGTGGAAACTCATGTTTAATTATTTATCAAAACTCAAGACATCATGATTTTATTTTGGTGATTTTTTCATGTAACCTCATGAATGGCTGCTAAGTACTTGCTTACTCTGTTTGTAATCAGTGAATCATATGTAGTTTCTTTTCTTTTACACTGACTATACTTATAAGCTGTTTCAGAGAGAAAAACATAATATTTTAGCTCCACTAGAAACTATGGGGGGAAACAGAAGATACTTTGCAGAGTGGCTTGTTTGTGTCAGCCAACATTGAATGCTGCCTTTCAGGTCGCATCAAAGTAGTCAGTGATAACCCCTGGTGGTCAGTTCCTATTTTCATGGTTCGATATGAAAGATTGTCAGGGGTAAATAAGAAATAATTTGGTATTTAGGAGACAGAATTTTAATATTAATAGTAAATAATTGTTTATGTTTGTAGTAGAATAGAAAATTTAATAGCTATTAATTGCTGCTTAATAGAATAGCAATCTAAAATTTTGCGTAAAACCAATTAAAAACCGCGGTTCTTTCTGTTTTTTTTTTAAGATATGTTTTAAAAAACTGATACATATTTTAAATGTTTTGTAAATCTTCAGTTAAAAATAAAATAGTTATTTTTGATTGTTTGAGACTATTTCCTAACCATTTTTAATAGATTACCTATAATTTCAGCAATAAACCCATAATTTCACCAATACCCATAATTTCCAATAGATTTGCAGACATGTAAATTCTTGGTTTAACTAGTTTATTGTGGTCTTACAAAAAAACATGTAAAAGAAAAAAAAAAATTATAAACCTCTTAGATGAGTCTATTCTTTCAAAGAATTTTTTCCTAAAAAATGAGACTACTGAATTAATTTTAAGAAATAAAAATTCTTCTCTTCATAAGATAAATTAAAGTTGGATTAAACCATATTATCTGACTTCTAAGTAAGCAGTGAAGCATGCTAAAGTGGAAGAAAAAAAATTAGCCATTGAAGCTTGCAAACAATGAGTCTATATGATATTTAAAACAAAAACATCTTTTCCTAACCATTTTTAATAGATTACCCATAATTTCAGCAATAAACCCATAATTTCACCCATATTTCAGCATCCTTCCCATATTTCAGCAATATCCTTTAAATGTAAAGGATTCTATGTATAGAACAGTATGCAGGAAAGAGTTTTTCCTACATAAAATTTCTCTTAGCATCCTTTTGCACTTCGAATTCTGAGTGTTGCTGTGATCAGATTATCGAGTTTCAGAGATATCCTGAATTCTTCCATTGTCTTAAGCTAGTATAATCTGTTGAAATTTCCAGAGTTGCTTTGCAATCAGTAAAATGATAATAGATAACATTAAATTTCTTGTTCTTTCTAGTATTTTAGTGCATGGATTTAATCAGTTGCAGACTTCCCATTTGATAGCATTCAGTAATATTTTTTACATATAGAATTCTGTTGTATGCAACATCAGCAAATCTTTTAAGTGCAGTGTTGAGATACATACAAGGTGTGACACAAAAAAAAATGAGACTAAGTGTGTAGCTTGAAAACAGAGTGGAGTTGGCAACAACTGTTTGGGTGACGTCATGCCACACACCTCCTCTATCCATGCGACCAGTTTCGACTTAGCCGACCACGCCAATGGGGAGTACTGCGTCATTGAGTGAACACGTGCAACTGCATTCTACCAGAAAAATGTCTAATGTAAAAAACGAAACAGCGAATCAGTATCAAATTTCGAGTGAAACTGTCTCATGCACGTGTGTTTGAATGGCATAAGCGCCCAGCACGTTCATCATGATTGAATGGGTTCCCAGTGGTCAGACTGTTAATCAATACTACTACTACATTGAAGTACTAAAAAGACTTTGTGAAAGAAATTAGGAAAAAAGCCACAGTTGTGGAGTGATGGATGGCTGTTGCACTAGGACAATGCACACGCTCATACGGACCTATCCGTCAAGCAGTTTCTGACCAGCAAAAACATTACTGTGATGGGGCATCCTCCTTATTCACCTGGTTTGGCTCCATGCAACTTTTTTTTATTTCCTAAAGTTAAATTTTACTTAAAGGGAACCCATTTTATCTCAGCTGAAGAGGTTCAGGCAGAAACGGAGAATCTCCTGAAGGGCCTTCCAAAAAGGTGATAATGTGATGGAGAACTGATTCTGTAAGTACAATGATTTATTGGACCAGTCTCATTTTTTGTGATGCACCTTGTAGTTTCTCCTTAACTGTAGTTTAGTTGTAACACTGTTTTCTCTCCTTTTCTATGTATATACATAAAATTGATTATTTTTCAAAACATAGTCCTTCATACAGTTCGTTATCTGTGATATCAGGCTGTTTTATTCATATTTAAACAAATGGAAATTTTGCTTCCTCCTGTAGGTCACATCCATGCCTCCACCCTTGGTTTTAAAAGAAAGTGCAAATCACTGTTTTTTAAACCTCTTGCAATCATTTAAACTACCATAATTTCGCGCGTATAGTCCGCGGACTATCTGTGTTTAAAATGCGAATTTTTGAAGCTGCGGACTATCCACCAGTGCGGATAATATGCTGGTTGTTCACGGTTAAAATCGTTGAAATTTAAAAAACACGCTGTCGTGAACTGCCGATGATCAAATATAAAAAAAGCGCGAGATTCCAAGAAAACATTCGTATGTATCGTATCGATAGTAAACCATAGAGCATAGTGCAGAACGAATGAGTAGTAGCAAGTAGAGCTCCTAAAATCCAGGCTGGCGCATCAAGCGATGCCGGGATATGAGCCAAAGAAAGTCTTGTATGAGCACTCACTTAGTGCAACCAGAGTCTTGTATCCCAGTATCCTTCGCACTGCTTTAGCGCAACTGCCGGGAGGGGGAAAAGTAATTGATGCGTCAGCTCGGTTTTTAGGAGCCATAGTAGCAAGTACCTGGTACGAAAAAAAAAAGCGTGATTCGTTTACTTATAGCGTGGTTTGGCAACACCGAGTGAGTGGGGTCGAAGGTCACATTTCATTACCACTTATCACGAGGATAGCACGTTGCACAGTATTTTGTTTTCGTATTTTGTCTTTCATCTTCGATAAACGTTGATGAAACATCGCCGGAGTTTTACTGCTGAGTTTAAACTCAAGGTAGTTGAGAAAGCTGAAAAAGATGGAAATAGAGAAGCGGGCCGTTATTGGTTTAATCCTAGTATTTGGTGCACACGGGATTTGGCTACTTTTGGCGACTTTATGATGAGCAGTGAAAACGGGACATATACGATGAGTAGTTAAACGGGTTCAAAAAGAAATATATAGTTAAACATAGTATAATATGTATATAGTATATATACTATG